CTGATGTGATTAGGTCCTATGATGATGTCACTTGAATAGATATGTGGACAGAGTTGGCATCGGGGTTTGTTACAAGCATCCTTGCTGCAGACCCAAGTCCTCCATTTAGCCAAAGAATGTGGGGAGCACCTGGGCATGTTTCTCTACATCTCTGCTAATGTGCCTTGACCCTGAGTTGGAAACTGTAGCTGGGGGGAGGAATAGCGGGATGTAGCGAGGGGGCGTGGTCTCCCTCCCTGACAGATGGGTAGAGGGCTGTGACCACCCCCTGGTGGGTAGAGCTGGGACACCCACCACCGCCCACCTGGAAGCAGAGGGGCAGGACAGGAACTGGAAATATAAAAGGCAGGCCCTCCAGCTCAGTTGGAGGAGAGCTGCCAGAGGAGCAGGATGTCTCCCTGCCACTGGAGCTCGGACCCAATGGAGGCTGCTACAGCACCAGAGACCCGGAGGGACTGCCGGAGCTGCCAGACACTGGGGACACTAAGGAGCTGTTGGGGCTGCCACTAGCCAGTTACCCCAGTGAGACAAATGATGACCCTGAAACCCAGGTACCCCTTGAATGGGAGTGTAGGAAGGAGCCCAGGGAAGCCGAATAGGGTTCGGTTGTGTTACTGACTGCAAGCCGACCAGCCAGTTGCAGCTGGATTTCCCTGTTGACCCAGTGGCGGATCACTCGGCCACTGTTAGAGCCCTGGGCTGGGACGCAGTGGAGTTGGGTGGGCCTGTGTCCCTTTACCCCTGCCACCCTACCCCTGGGGCTATGGCAGCCTCCCCAACTTTAGACCAAGAGACCTGCATTGGTCTGTCACCTGCCCAAGCTAGGATGCCAGATGGTTTTGCTGCCTGTCCCGTCAGAGAGCTGGTCCCCCTAGACTGCTGCATTGCTCTGCCTGATTGCAGACCAGAGCCATTAACTGTTTGCAGCTTTGCCTGGACTGAGACCTCCTGGCCTATAGTTTCTCTACTGTTCAGCCTGACTGCAGGCCAGAGCCATTAACTGTTGGCTAATTTCCCCCTGAACTGAGTTGCTCCAGAAGCATTATAGTGAGGGGGCGTGGTCTCCCTCCCTGATGGACGGGGAGAGAGCTGCGACTGTCTTACAGGGGAGAATGCTCCCCTTTGGTGAATGTGGCTCCTCTCAGTTGGGGTAGCGAGGCCTAGCTGTTGGAGATCAGGGAACTGCCCTTGTCCTCAGGGCAGCAAGGCCTAGAGGCCAGAGCCTATGAGGCTGCCTTTGTCCTCAGGACAGCAGGGCCTAGCAACTAGAGTCTATGAGGGGTAGGGAACCCAGGCCTACCTTACTCCACCGGGTTCCAACCCAGGGCCTGTGAACTGGGAGTCCTGGCTACAGGCTTAGGTCCCTTGCTCAACAAATGCGTTCCCTGGGCCGCTTCATACCCTTGATCCCAGATCCTGTAGTTCCTCCCGGGGTGGCAGCTTTCCAACTCCGTCATCCTCCATGGTCGAGTGGGGTCCTGTGATGGACTCAATGTGCTTGGCCTCCTCAGGCTGGGGCTCTCGCAGCTCTCTCGCAGGAGCCTGTAGCTTGCGTCAGCTCTGGTCAGCCCAGCCTGACCCAAGCTGCTTTCTTGTATATACTCCCTCCACCGGGAACATGCACAGCAGGGGTGAGAGGGCGTGACCTCCTGGGCCAAAGCGAGTGGTTAACTCTCGCGGGGCCAGTGCGAGGTTGGTACACCCCGTCACAGAGACATTACTCTTGGGTCAGTTAGTTCAATCTCAATTGCCATTCAGTCTTAGGCCTCTCTGCTGAGACTGCCTGAAGGGTGCCGGCTGTAGTGAATTTTGTGACATGGATACTTGTTCACAAGGACCTGCACTGAGACAATCAACTGATTTTCCAATAGACTACTGAACAGCCAAAATATTAAGCAACTTTTTGTCCCCTCCAACTTGTGGTGGACTTGACCTAGCAACCTAAAGGCTCTGTGCCATTACCAGGTCTTTTAGTTTCACATTCTGCCTTAACCAAGCTAATCCTAGAGGAAGGGCAATGTCCTGGGTGAATTTAGACCAAGACACACACCCTGCTATGTGTCTTCTCAGCCTTTTTTCATTGCGTGTTATAAAGAATGCAAATTGTTGCTGTTTGTCTGGTGGGCAGTGCAGAAATGGAGGGAGGACTCAAATTTCTGGCATGCTAACATATGAAGAGGTTTCACAGCACCTTCCACTGAGCTATTTGTGTGGGAATGTACATGTAGAAAAGGAGACTCGACAGAGGAAACAGAACTTTTCTTGTTAGCCCAAAAGCAAGAGTTTCAGATTGAAACAGGGAAGTTTGTATTATATTGTGGGGCAAATGCTATAATAGGAAAATCACCTAAACAATAAAACATGTTTGCAAGAAGTTGAAGAGGAATCAGCTTCATTTTAAATCTTCAATTTAACACTCAGTAAGCATCCTTGAAAGTGTTTAGTTAGGAATCCACCTAGTAGCAGAGGAATGAACTAGAGCCGTGCGGGAATATGTCAAGGGAGGCGCGAGCTGTGTGCCTTTTTTTTTAAGAGCTCTGGGTGTCTGTCCTGGGTGGCTGAGGCTCATGCAGAAGGGCCATGCACACCCAGTAAGCGGAGATAAAGCTTGGGCTCGCCATCCCCACAGCCCCCAATTCCTCACCTGGAGGCAGCGGGGCTCCGGCTGTCAGCCCCGAGGCAGCAACGCAGAAGTAAGGGTGCCAGTGGGGCATTAAGTCTGCTGTGAAAAGTGATATTGATGAATATCCCTTTTCACATTCTGTGCAGCTGCAGTGCTGCCTTCAGAGCTGGGTGGCAGTATATGTACTTGGGCCGGGGCGAGGGGGTCACAAACAACTACAGATACAAAGAAGGTGGGGGTGCCGATCAAATACTGAACTAGAGGCTTGATCCAAAGGCCATTGAAGTCAGTGGGAGTTTTCCCATAGACTTTAATGATCTTGGATCAGGCCCTATATAAAGTATTAAGCCATTTTGCTGAAATGATTCTATTATTCTATTGTTTGGATGTTATGATACAAAGCCTGTTGAAGTTGACAGGGAGACTTCCATCAGCATCAGAGAACTTTGGATCAGGCCCTAAGTGTAAGTCACTTATACTTCCTTTTACTGGTTTTTCTGCATCAAATCTCAGTCAGTATTCATTTCTTTCTTCAGGCGCGATGTCCGCCCTCACTATTTCGACATCTCCTCCCCTTCCACTCAGTTTGTCCTTTCAGTAGACTCATTACCCTGGTAATTAAACATCTCTATGTCCTGATTAAGTCATTCTCAGTTACTTCAGTTACATTGTATTGTTCATTAAATCCTGATGTTTGCAGTTTTGCAATCTTGTTTTTAATACTCCATCTGTTTTTATAGAAACAGGGAAGTTAAGTAATGTCTCTTTCGGTTCTTTCCTTTTCTTTCCTCACCACAATGTAGTAGTTTCCACTCATGGCTGATAAAAAAAAAATAGAAAGAACCACTCATCTATTATAATTATTAATATTTCTAAATCTGAGAGAGAAAAGAGGCCCACACAATGGCCTGAGGCTAACTCGTCTCAACTTCCCATGAGAGCAGAAAGGAAAAAAATAACATTTTTGGTTGCTTCCTCTTTTAACAATCTTTCCTCTCATGAGTCACACCCACGATCCTCATGTTTCAGTTAGGGTTTATTATAGCACAGGTGTTCAAATACTTAAATTTAGAGAGTTATTACATTAGTTTTTTCCTCTGTGACTTGCATTCAGGGGCAGACTTTTAAAACAACATTTGTTACAGTCACATATAGAACACAAGAGAGAGAGAGGGAGTGAGAGTGTGGGCTACCTGGACCATGGATCTCGGTACATAGGACTAGGCACCTGTTTCCTACCTCCCTGGAGTGGAGGAGCATGGAATAAGCAAAGTCTTGATTCTAGCCCCTCACACTCTGGCCAATATAGAGGGGCATGTCAGTGATCCTTCAAACACTATGAATTAATTAGATCTACTTGATTCATTATTTAACTCCACCAAACAAACTTTTTGATTGGAAAAATAGTTTAAATAGGTGGATAGCTTGAAAAGCCTAGTCTAGTGTGTCTAACTTGATATACAGTGTTTGCTACTGTGAAGCCTATCTCATTCTCCATAGATTTGAATAACATTTATATTCTTGCAGGCACTGAATGTCTTCTTTGAAAAAATCCCAGAAAATGAGAGTGCAGATACCTGTCTTGATATCGAAGCTAATGTTCTGGATTGTGATACCATAGAGCAAGCCAAAGAGAAGATCTTTCAAGCATTTCTAAACAAGAATGGCTCTCTTTATGGGCTTCAGCTCAGTGAAATTGGTCTTGGTAAGAGAGTGCCATTGTGTATTATCCTCTTACGTTTGCTGCTGTTTCTGTGAAGATTCCTACTTCGTAGATCCTATCACTGACTTTGGCTACTGTTAGTTAATGCTGCTTTGTCATAATAAATTCTAGGGAAATTCATACAGCTAGTAAGGCTGTAAACTTGTGCTTGCCCCCAAGGTTTCATTCTTACAAGTTAATGTGTTAAAACCACAACTGCCTTTACCTGCACTACAATTTTAACAAACATTAGCTAACACGTGTTAAAAATACCCCTTTCCCCTTTAGTATAAACATAGCAACAATGACAGGGCACACTTGTGCAGCAGAACAGCATTAATTCTGGTCCACAGGGTATCGCAATAACAAAACTGCATTCAAAACTAGGCTCTTTTTTTCCCCAGGACGTTACCGTTTTCCTTTACTATCCTCAGCAGGCAGCCACTAAGAGAACTCAAATGACTGTATAAGACTGCCAAGGGGATGAGGAGTGAGATAGTTACAATGGCAGATGGCAAACAGCATGCCCATAAGACCATTGAATCTTGATCTGAAATAGTTATATAAACTGTACAAAAATAATCTAATCCAGTTCATCCAAATATCCAGTTTTAGAAACAATTCCATAAAATACTCATGAAGCATCCATTTGGGCTTGATTAGTTGAAAGCACCTGTCTGGGTTGTGGCTTAAGTAGGATAAGGTGAGACACTTCCAATAGCCTCATGCTCCAGATAGCCTTGCGTGTACAAAGGATTTCTACAGGCAGGGCATGCAAGTCATGCTCATGGAAACTAGCACATGGACAGTGATTAGTAGAACTCGGATTGGGACCATTAGTCCAAAAATAATAAAATAACAATGCTGTATTTTGCTCTATGGGACCAGTTTTAGCATGTCATTGTTTTGTCAATATCATTGTTTTACAGAACTTCAGTCTGGTGCACAGCAAAAAGAACTGTTAGATATCGATGGTTCCTCTGTGATTCTGGAAGATGGGATAACAAAGCTAAACACCATAGGTCACTATGAGGTAGGAACAAAAATAGTGCAATTGAATTAGGAACCTATTTCTCCCAACCCCCAAGTACTGCCTGCCCAGAAATGTCCTGATTGATTAGAAGTCTGAACATTCACAAAGGTGGGGAAAAAAGAACAGGAGTACTTGTGGCACCTTAGAGACTAACAAATGTATTAGAGCATAAGCTTTCGTGGACTACAGCCCACTTCTTCGGATGCATACAGAGTGGGGAAAGCTCTGTAGGCTGAGCATCTGATGCGGACACCTAGAAATTTTTTACTCATACGATATTTATGGAATGGTCTTAGTGTTGAGTCACATGCTATTTCATGTTACTTGTGGAGAGATTTGTTTGTTAGGGAATCACCCAGAGTTAGATAGCTCAGGTATGCTGTACTTGGTAGTGCAGTCCAGTGAATAGTAATAATTAAAGTGTCTGAGGTTCAACGTCCAAAATCAGAGGTACCCAAAAATACCGATCACTTTTGAAAACTTAGGTTCTCAATTTTTGCATTGCCCAACTTTTTTTCTTTTCAATTTTAAACCAAGTGACCCTAATAGTGCATTAATATAGAGCTTTAGCTTTTAATTTCTTAGGGCTTTATTGGCTTTTTCTTACTAGAAAAAAATAAAATAAAAAGAAGCTCACCTCCAGGAAGCGTATGCGCCTTTCACTACACTACTCCTGGATGGCACGTCAGGGCATGCACACTCAGTGGAGGCACTGCTGTGCTTTTTACAAGATCTCCACCACTTTCTCGTAAACGCAGCCAAGAGCCTTGACAAAGAGACCATGACAAGAGGTTAATTGCTTGCTCCCCAAGCAAGTAGAGATGGGAAACAGCTTACACACCTGTTCTACAGTCATAGACTTTAAATTTCCCAGGCTTCAGAGTCAACTGTGAATTCTAGGGGCACGAAGCTGAAGAAATTTGAATCGGATGTGAGATCCAGCGATCCCTCATTCAAAAAACAGTTTTCTGTGGAGGATAAGGGGCCTGGAGGGCTGGACGAGAGGCACAGGTGCAGGCAAAGGCAGACTGCTGCCTCTTCACCTGTTCTGAAATGCACATGTCCCATGCTGCACAGAAATGAGTGTCTCCCCCCGAAGCTGTGCATCTCACAAATTAATAACATTTTAACTGCCTGTGGAAACGATTATGACACGAACAAGCAATTGAAGCACCAGGACAGAAAAGAAGGGCCTCATTGTTTATATATTGTGGAGGAAAAAATGGCGGATTTGGTCACAATGACAATAGAAAAGAGAAACTTTTATTCCATTAGATGCTAGGGGCTAGCTTTTGTCACAGAGATATGACCCATTGTAGGGGTGGTACAAAGCTGCACTGCACCCGTGGCATCAGTTTCTATAGGGAACCACAATTCCCTTCCTGTTCCTCTCGCCCTGGTTGGTAGCTGGAGTATATCAGCATTAATCTTCCCTCTGTGCTGGCCAGAGTGTGAGCGGCTAGAATCAAGGCTTTGCTTATTCCATGCTCCCCCACTCCAGGGAGGTAGGAAACAGGTGCCTAGTCCTATGTACCCAGATCCATGGTCCAGGTAGCCCACACAGTGATGTAAGAGGGACTCTCACTCCCTCCCTCTCTCATGTGGGCAGGGGCGGCTCTGTTTTTTGCTGCCCCAAGCACAGCAGTCAGGCGGCCTTGGGCGGCACGCCTGCGGGCAGTCTGTGGGATTCAGCAATGTTTCTGCAGGTGATCTGCCGGTCCCAAGGCTTCGGCGTACCCACCGCCGAATTGCCACAGAAACCGTGGGACCGGCGGACCTCCCGCAGGTACGCCGCCAAAGACCGCCTGACTGCTGCCCTCACAGCGACCGGCATGCCGCCCCCCACGGCTTGCCGCCCCAGGCACGTACTTGCTGCGCTGGTGCCACCCCTGTGTGTGGGTGCGGGATCCAAATCACAGTCTAGCCCTAACAAATTTGCCCATCTTTTGAGTGGTCTTAAATTACCATATGCTGAAACATTCTTGCAGCTCTGGATGAGCTGTGAAACACTGCATTATCAAATGAAACTTTTTCTTTATAAATATACTTATAAAATATTCCGTGTCTGCCTCCCAGGAGCAAGTGTAAGGGCAAGATTTCTTTGGCACAAGACACAGCTTTCTACAAAGTATCTTAATGCTCATGCTGGTTCCCAGCAGTGGGCTGGCTGCCAAGGTTTTAAAAGACATTTAAATTATTTTGGCAGAGATCCCTTCGTAGGATTGGCCAGTTGTTTTTGTAATTATAGAGCTGAGTGTGCTAGCACTTGGCAAAACACAGGTTTCAACAACTGTCTACACTCAGCACTACACAGGATTAGCTTTAGATCCGTTCTTTGACAGTAACAGTATGACTCACCAGTTTCTTTTTAAGGGAAGATTTACTGCCTTAGCAGTGGAGTTTATTCATGGAGGGAGGATGAGGATTTTCCTAGAAGTCTCAAGCCACCTGCCTAGGTACCTTAAGCCTAGAAAACTGAAGTGCAGAAATCTACAGTACACAAGTTTGATCTTCGTCGCTTTGGAAATTGAAGCCTGGAAATAACTATTAGAAACTTGAGGCCTGGTCATCTGCATCCCCTCAAAATGCAGATCTCACCCTCTTTTGCAAAAAGTGATAGAAGGCATCATATGCCTCCCCAGCACCATCCCCACATGGGAAGGGATTGGATGGGAAGCCAGGCTAGGGGGTCACACATCATCCTTGTATCAATCCTGAAGGGAATCCATAGAAATAGGAATGTGAATGGACAGCACAAAATAGTGCCTGGGAATGATTAATGAAACCTAAGGACATATATGCAGAGCATAAATAAACCAGCAAAATCTGGCAAGGAGGAAAGCCTTAAGCAACTGATTTTTCAGAGATGCTGAATTTCTCTAACTTCAGTTAATGTCTGTGGCAGCTGTAGCTGCTCAACGTCTCTGAAAATAAGGCTTTATAGCCCAGATCCTCAAAGGTAATGAAATCAATGAGAGTTAGATGCCAAAATACCTTTGAAGATCTGGGTCTAAATGCTTAGTGAGAATCATGTGTGCTATGTTGAGAATGGATAGTGCTGGCATAACTCACATTTTGTATGATTTGAGATTTATCATGGGGATGAGGACATGAAATCTAGGGCTTCATTAATTATGGACACGTATATTTCAGTAAGAGATACTTGTTTTTGCTTTCAGATTTCAGATGGAGCAACTATAAAAGTCTTTAAAAAGAGAACTAATTTCACATCAGGTAACAAAGGAACTGAGAATTATTTTATTTTTATGTGAAGACTGTAATAAAGTTGTAGAGATTTGCATTCATAGTAGTTTGTATCTCATAGATATAATGTCAAAAACATGACATTGAATTGTAACTGAGAACAGGGACAATCATTTTAATCTTGTTCTGAGCCTGTGACGGGCAACACCTCCACAGGGCATTGGGAGGAAGAGGTCCAAAAAAAAAAAGACCCATAGAAAACTTACAGTCTTAGGTAATGGAATTCATAAAGACACACGGACTGAGTGGCAAGATGACAAGGCAAAGAAGCATAAACATCACAAATGTTGGCTAATGAGAATATAAACTGTGCACAGGAAACTTATGAACAATTGTATGAACTATAGTAATAAGCAGTTAAAGACAGAACTTCAAGTCAGCTCAATTATTCACTTTGTAAACCTAGAACTTTTGACTCCGCTGTTTCAATAACACACCAGTAACTACAAGTTACGCATTAGGTGTCAAGAACCACTGGGTTGTGGTCTAAGATTGGTGAGGGCTGAAGTTGCTGTCTCCCCTTCCAGAGGCAGCAGGATCATCCATTGCTGGCCTCTTTCCTGTAAACACATGCTTCCCCCTTCGTATGCTGTCCCAGGCAGAAGCTGGCCTCCATCTCCCTTCCAGGATTTGTCTACATTACAAAATTGTAACCACGATTAAAACTTTGGAGTCACAATTCCTCCTATGCCTCCCCCTTGCACCAAGAGAGAGGTAATTTGCTGCTGGCCTACACCACCAACAAATTATGCTAGCCTTGTTCCGGCTCAGTTTGTGGGCCAGAGAATGGAGGGGCAATTGGAATCATGGCTCCGCCCTTTTCCCCAACCTCTCCCTGCCCACCTATGTAGAGGGAGCAAGTAAAACACAGGACCTGTGAACTTTGACCCAAGGTCTGGTAGCCTGCGTAGGAATGTAGAGTGAGGTTCTTGCTCCCTTGCATGGGCACATAGCCCAACTCACAGTCTAGTCCGAAATAAAGATGCCCATTGCTGCGTGCATTTAACCGACACCAATTCACGCTCTTTCTCCTTTTCCCTATTGCCTAGATGTGGAATACTCTAACAAACACTGTCATTTGGTGAGTTAAATAAACCAACCATTTAATTGTTCACTTATTTAACATTGAACGATTATATCAGGATAACATCTCTCCTCCCCTTCCTGTAGATTTTACCTGACTCTGAAGAGCCACAGGGAGCAATGCACAAAGGAAAGCAAAAATTTGAAGTGAAAGAAATGTATCTGACAAAGCTGCTGTCTACCAAGGTAATAGTTCCGGATTCATTTTGGGGTAGGTTGGGCGGCATGTTTGACTTAGCAGAAATTGGAGTGGAAATTATGCAAACCTGATGTATGTGTATGACACAATGTTAAACTGTAAAATCACTACTAGCTACAGATTTTTATCAAGCACAAAAATAACTATCTTACAGATTGGCAAAGTGGAGCCCTAAGAGAGCCGTCTAGTAATGCATTCTCCCCTCTCAGCACAATTGTTACCTCCTTGCCTTTTGAGGATAAGATTGTAGTTATTGGGGGTGATGGGGTTCCTACTTGTTGTACGGGCAAAGGAGAGGTTAGTGTTTATAAACATTCCGGGTGAAACCTGGCCCTGTTGGAGTCAATGTGAGTTTTACTGTTGCCTTCCATAGAGCCAGGATTTCACCTTCTGGATGGATAGACTATGGTCTAAATGTTCCAGAATGATGAGAGACTTTCGGTGCCCAACACGAGATACCCTGAAAGGGCCTGCTTTTCAGAAAATGCTGAGCACCCACTATTATTTTTGAAAATACAAGTTACTGTTGAAAATGTAGGTCATAACTTTTATAATCTAAGGGCTCTAATTCTCATAGTGCACAATTTTAGAAACAATCCCCACCATCACTACCAAAAAAAAAAAAATACCCTCACTAAATTAGAGTGAGTTATTTCTAATGAATCCAACAGAATATAAATGTAAAAGCTCTTAGCAACAGCATATCATTTAAAAAAAATATTACCAATTCCCTTACTGGGTAAAATTCTGTGTTATTCAGGAGGTCAGACTAGATTATCCTTAAAGCCCTCGTGGCCTTAAATCTAGCAATCTATAATTATTAAGGTTATGGAAGTGCCCAGAATGTGCCAGGATGCTTTCCAAAGAGAATGAAGACCAAGATCCACAAAAATTAATCCTGCCTCTGCAATTCCCCAGCTGCCTAGTAACATCCAGTGCTAGCAAACTGACCTAAAATCTGGCTGCTGTGGAAAAGAGGCTGAGAAACAACAAAACAGAAATAGTCTTTTAAATTTCTTTAAAGTAAATTAATCATCTACTACTTTATAATAGTGTACTGCATCCAGTATCAGCATTAGAATAAGACAGTGCTTTGAAAATCTCACACTAAATCCCTATCTATATGTGCCATGAACTACAGGAATTGTCAGTGTGTTGGGCCACTTTAGATAAGCTCTGGTCCTAGCTCCTGGCAGTTGGAGGTTCAGGGACACCCAGAGCATGGGATTGATTCCCTAATCATCTTGGCTTATAGTCATTGATAGACCTATTCTTGGAACTTGTCAAAGTCTTATTTGAATCCAGTTATACTTTTGGCTTTCATAATGTTATTTGTTTTTTGCCATTTCCTCCTTCTTAATAATATTGTATGAATAGTGTCCATGTGTTTTTTGTTAACCTGCCTTGCCCTTCTACCACCTCTGGGAGTTTTTTGTTTTGTTTTGCATTAAAAATAGCCAATCCTCCATTCCTCTCTTTAGTGGAGGACCTTTTCAAGGTCTCTGACTATCACCCAAAGCTGAATCTTAAGACTCAACAACACCTCTTCTCTCAGTTGTGAACCAGGGAGGGAGAACATCAGCTTGGCTTACAATCTCATGTGACATCATTAATCAGGTCCTCTAGAAATTTTGATAAGATCCTCCCCTCCAAAAAAGAATAAAGTGAGCACCTGTTGTATTCCTGATCTTCTTTGAAAAAGGTAGAAAAAATATACTTTTAGTTTAAAGTATTAAAGTAAAAGTGTTGTTATCTAAATGTACCATAAAGAAGCAGGGAAGGGCTCAAGACAATTCCTCCTCCCACACAGAGTTCAGCTTTACATTTACCACAATTCTCCCTGTTGACAAAACAATGTAGCATAGCTGATGAGCCGTTAGCACAGCTGATGGTGATAGGTCTCCAGTTTCTTTTTTATTTGTGATTCTGTCCATACCTATTGAGTCAATTTTACCCAAACCCTATAGAGTGTGCATGAGCATGCATGCACGCACACGCATCAACCCCTTGGCTTCATTTCTGTGTATGTTTCACTTGGATTGTGTTTCAACTCTCCTCCCCCGACCATCTTTGTCCTTTTCACCTGTAATAACAGGACTGCTCATTTTCTTGCTTTTCAGGTTGCAATTCATTTAGTTGTTGAAAACCTCTTTAAAAGCATTTGGAGTTTACCCAACAATAAAGCCCCAGTTGCCATCAAATACTTTTTTGACTTTTTGGATGCTCAGGCAGAAAGTAAAAAAATTACAGATCCTGATGTGGTCCATATATGGAAAACCAACAGGTTTGTATATATATGTGTGTGTGTGTGTGTGTGCACGTGTGTGCTTTCTCAGTGTACTTATGTGAAATTAGAACAGGATACTTGTAACCATACCTTGTTTTATAATCTGTGTAGGTGGTATGCTGTGACTAATTAGTGATGACTCTGAAACAATCTTGCCTTGTTGCAGTTTGTGAAAAATGAATCACTTAAAATTGAGCATTGCTCACTAACTTTTGTGGTGTGACTACCTGGATCCAAGATATCTGCCTGGAGCTCTAGTACATCAGTTAGATTCTGGTATATGGCATCATAGCTTCTAGAAATTTGATTCAATACACTGATTTTTCTCACCTGAAGGAAGTCTTTACAAATCCACAGAGAATGATTTGACCATTAATTGGTGCTGGCTGAAGCTAGAGCATGGATTTGACTGGTCTGGTAGCTTTGTGGCATTCACTAATGCTCATTACTGCATGAATGGGCAGCTCAGAATTGTGCCTGTCTGTCTGGTGTAATGAATTCTAAATACTGAATAAGTCATCTGGCTTGAGCTGCTGAACTTAAAGTGCTTTTCTCTGATTAGTCTTCCTCTTCGCTTCTGGGTGAATATATTGAAGAATCCTCAGTTTGTCTTTGATATTAAGAAGACACCACATATAGATGGCTGTTTGTCAGTAATTGCACAAGCTTTCATGGATGCCTTTTCTCTAACAGAACAGCAGCTGGGAAAGGTAATGCTTGGCCTTCATATTTTTTTGCTGTTTCCAGACTGAATAATGTTACTTTTAATTGTGTAATGCTTTCTGGATAAAATCCTGGCTAAAGTGAAAGTCAGTGATAAAACTCCTATTTCACCCTTTATTACTCTATCTCATAGGAAAATAAGAAATTGAACAATCCAGATAGATGTACCTAAGAGAGAATTTAACTAGGAATTGTCATATCTAGTTTAAATTTCCTCATTCATTTTCTATGTTCCTTTCCATCTTCCCATTTTTAGAGTATGGTGAAGAGGGGGAAAAGTTCCACATTATTTGGTCAAAGTTGCATCTGTGATTAATCAAAAGTTTTTAGAGATGTTAAAATTATTAAACCAGAAGTCCAGATTTTTCTGCCATACATTAAAGAGGCATGCAGCAAAGACTGCTGATAAGCTGCTAACCAGAATAATAACAGGTAAACGTGAAAAGCACTGGAGATGTGATGTAGTTCCTTTTACAAAATGTTGGCTGCTTATCTGAACATATCCAAACTTCTTTGGTGGAGAAGCCAGTTTGGAAATCTCACAAGTAGAGCCTTTCTTACAAAATTTCCAGAACTTCTTGGTTGACCTGCTCAGAAAAACTTCAGTAGTCATTTTTTCTGCTATTTCCCCTTCTGGCTTAAACCAGAAAATACAGGGTTAAACAAAATGATTTTTTAAAATGTTAACTAGACAATTTTGAGTCTCAAAAAAGTTTCAGATAAAAATTGAGTTATTTCCTGTTCGAGCTGTTGCTCATCCAAAATAGGTGTTTATTGGAAAAAGGAGGATTTTTTTTAAAAACAGTTATTTGATAATAGGACTTTAGATTTCTTGAAACTAAAGCTAAATTGACTAATAATTTGATGGAAAACTCCAAACCGCTGTCACCTATGTATTAAAACCCTCCTATTGTTACATTTATGTTTCCTGCTCTAACCATCATTAGAAACCATAGCCATTTTAAAAAAATCAAGCTGAAACTTGCTATGTGTATTATCAGTGCAGTTAAGAGTTTTTTAGTTCTTAAAAAGACAACAAATGTTATTTTCATGATTGTGCATGACTTTTCTAAGCTTTAGATTAAAATATTCTTCAGTCACTTGTAAAATAAACTTATTTGTTTGTTTTTATTTTAAAACACTAACACTAGTGCCAGGATATTTAAAAAGTTAATTATAAGCATACACATAGTTTACTCCCCATAATTTAAAATAAATAAAGTGTTACTGAAATCTGAGAGCACTAGCTGTTAGTCCCTGAAATCTTAGGTTCAAAGAGGGGGCTTTAGCTCATATAAAAAATCTCTTATATTTTGAGGGTCATTCCTCAAGGAAATTAGAAGTGGAATAGCTAGGCTGGGTTGTTGGTCAGTATCACTTTAGACTGTTAAAGCCAAGGCGAAAATCCATTTGGCTCTGCCTGAATCTCACCCGTGCATTAACTCATTCTTCTAAGCACCAGATTCACATAATCTCCCTGCTCTTTCAGTAATATTAAAAAGAACAGGAGTACTTGTACCACAAGTACTCCTGTTCTTTTTGCGGATACAGACTAACACGGCTGCTACTCTGAAACCAGTAATATTAAACCGTCCTCTCATCCTTAGAGAGGAGCCCACTGCAAGGCAGGGCTAGGTCCACTGGCAGGTTAATGTAAGGGAAACTAACACAGCTGCTGCCCATGTTCTGTACATAAATAGAATTTCAGTCTCAAGAGTGTTGGTTCAGCTCTCACAAGCAGGGGCAAATATAGTAATTAGTACTCCTGAGCCCAGTAGAAATAGTTCTACAGTAACTGTCATGAAATTCAATTTTGCAAAAGCTCGACTCTCTTAGCACATGACCACTCTGCAAACAGAAGTGGTCACATGCTAACAGAAAATGCAGTAAATCCACTGCGTGGAGGCAGAAGCTTGAGCAAATTTGTGCTGTTAAAATTTACTAGTCTTCATAATATGTTTTTCTTTTTAAGGATGCACCAACAAATAAACTTCTCTATGCTAAGGATATTCCACTCTACCAGGAGGAGGTGAAAGCTTACTATAAAGCAATCAGGGATTTGCCTCTATTGCCATCAGAGGTAGAAGAATTTTTAACTCAGGAATCTAAGGTATCATTAATAACCAGACACTTTACTAACTTTTTGTTACTTTTTAAAAAGCAAAACTGTCTCATCAGATCTCTCTTCTTTTTTAGAAACATGAAAATGAATTAAATGAGGACGTGGCCTTGACTGAAATCTACAAATACATAGCAAGATATTATGATGAAGTAAGATCACCTGTTATTCCTATTTATGCAGTTACTGTAGACTAACCACATCAGGCATTGATGTGGTTAGTCTACATTTCAAGTTTGACTTTTCAAGCTAAGCAGGGTCTAGTTTGGTCAGTGCTTGATTGGGAGACCTCCACGAAAATGTCAGAGGCTACTGGTAATTCAGAGATTGTCTGAGTCAGTATAGAACCAATACCTCGCATGGGGATAAATGAGCTATATTTATAGTATCTTTGGACTAAGCCATAGAGTTAAGATTCTGAACACACCTCCTTCCCTGCCACCACTTTTAACAAAAGTGAATTTAAATTCTCCCTGCAGTTGCAGAAGGATACTGTGTTCTACGCTTCCTGTCCCAAAGTGTTTGGAAATGTTGCTAAGTGACTGTTAAACAACTGTCACAACCCACCCAGGACTGGGGGTTGCATTTCCCTGGAGATTCTGGAACTCTTTTTGGGATTCAGTGTGCTAGATAATATTGGGGATCTGGGGCTCCCATTCCATGTTATTTAGACAGCTAACTCCCATTGTTTTAAATGGAATGTAAGAGCCTGTATGCCATTGAGGAGCTGGGGCAGAGTTTATTGTCATTGGTATGGCTATCACTTTATGAAAACCCATAGCTAAATTTAACACAACAGCAGAGCAAATTCCTTCTCGGTACATTACAGCAAGGAGGAATATTCTCCTGGCTGTCACTGACCTCTTGCCTGGCCCCATTTTGGTCCACATCCCTTTCTCATGAAAATAACCTCCCACCTCGCTAGTCCTCCCCGATCCCAGCTGTGACTGTCAAGCGGGGTACCTCCCTGCGCATCTGCTCTCAGGTCCCGGCCACCTCTTCAGCAAGTGACCACTCAGACATCCATGCCAGAAAAATCCCTGCACCCTGCTGTGACTGGGCTCCTCCCACACCAGGTGAAATAAGGGTGCTGATCGAAGCCTGCTCCTGGAGTGATGTGCGACACAGCAGGAGGGCTGGAGGGGGAAGAGGAGTGGGAATATGGTGTGGGGGACAGTTGGGATTTACTGCAAGGAAGTGTCTCATCCTCATCAAGCCAATTTCTAGCAGCTTGAGCCTCATTCCTAGCAGACCAGACTCTCCTATGCAGCACAGCACCAGCAGGTTCCCCAAAATTTATTAGTCTGCTGGTCAGTTTTCAACTCAACTTACCTGAATTCTGCATCAAAGCATGTCCTTTGCCATGTATGATAATTGCTAAATGACTCTGGTAGTGTTTTTAAAGTCTCTCATCTGTCTTTATTAGGGTACTTAAACTGTTGCCTCCAGAGCTTTTCTTTATAATCCCCTCTAACCTAATAATTATGTTTTGTTAGTATGTGGTATCTAAACCTACCCCATCCATTCTGGGCCCCCCTGCTCCCCATGTAGCTTTTGACCAATAGCAACTACAAGCTTATTGACCCTTCCTCTGCCATATTGTGGATTTAAATGCCAACAAAGGGCATTCAAAGTGCAGCGCTGCTCTGCTTTACATCCTCTGGCCCAAGGCCACGTGTATAATTTATACCACCAGCTTAGTGCAGGGGGTGATATACAAGAGCAATTCTAAATCAGTCTCTCTGCCCCAGGGTGCTGTGCTGACCTTACATTTAGTAAATAAAAGTGGGGGTTTTGGTGGGGGGGAGGGACGGTTTAAACTGAGGTTGCTATTTTCAGCAGAAGTGTTGAAGATCCTGTGATTGTAATGACTTGTGAAGCAAGGCACAGAAACAGTGTTAATGTTTGAAGAACATATTATAGGCACAAGTTCAGACAGATCTTACCACTGATATCTTCAGATGAGAAGAAGGTGTGTGTTTAAAACAAGTAGCAAAAAAAGTAAATCGTTTTTCTAATTAATTGTCAACAGATTCGAAGTAAATTAGAGAGAGAACGGGGGCTAGAAGATGCCCAGAAAGATCTCCTGCATATAAAAGCCTTATTTGATGAAAAGAAAAAATGCAAGTGGATGTGACCAGAGCACACGGGCCCAGGACTGTAATCTGGTGAATTTTTAAACTAGAGGTGCTGGTACCAAACTAGTGTTTTGGCTGGTTATGTGTATTTTTTTTTTTTAAACCATTTGGATATTGTTCTCCATTATGACCATGTAAAGTGTAGGGTATAAACAACAGGCATGCATACAGGGCTAGACTTTCAAATATAGGCATGTAAAAGTGCATGTGAGCCTTGTACTCATGCATTGAGCCTGCTTAGTATTATACGTGCATTTGTGTGCCCAGACCCCCTGATTTGAAAGTCTGCCCCACGTATTTTAAAATGAAATAAACCTGCAGAAACCAGTGTACTCACTGTAAGTTAGAGAAACTTTCACGTAAGCATGTTTTTTGTAGGTCACTGCCACCTTATTAACAGAGAATAGTGCTAATTAGTCATACACCCTGACACTTCATTGGTCTTAGTGTGGCCTTAAATACTATTTTAAGTACAATTCCCCTCCCTTGTTCCCCCTTAAACACAAAAATGTGCTAGTTTTGTTTGAAAACAATAGAAGAGTAGCACTTATGACCAGGTAATTCAGTATTAGCAGAAAAGCTGGCTGAGAGGCTCCAGGGCTAGATGTGATGAACCATTTTTTTAACTCAAGGTATACTGATTCTTGTTTTAGAAATTCTCAATGTGAAAGAATCCAAAGTTGTGCAGAACATTAGGTTGCTGGTGCAATCCACTGTTCCAAGGACATTTTCCATAGTTTACGTTGCTTATAATTTTTTAAGATTTGAGAGTATCAAGACAGTCCTGAACACATTTATGTTTTCATGATGGTACACCTCTACCCCGATATAACGCTGTCCTCGGGAGCCAAAAAATCTTACTGCGTTATAGGTGAAACCGCGTTATATCGCACTTGCTTTGATCCGCTGGAGTGTTCAGCCCCGCCCTCCCCCGGACCGCTGCTTTACCGCGTTATGTCCGAATTCGTGTTATATCGGGTCGTGTTAGGTCGGGCTAGAGGTGTATATAAATATTCCCATTATTTCACTAAATCAAATGGAGGTTGGTTTTTTTGGGTGATAAAAGATTTACTTAGTGGCAGTTGAGACTAGTGTGGACGAGGGGACTCTAGTTTTCACTGTGGCTACTAGTTTCTCAAATGTATAAAGCTGGTAGTTTGCCTGAGAGCACAAGTGACGTGTTCTGTTGGAAGTTTAGGGTTATTCTAAGAAATTGCAAAAAAGCAAAAGTCGGTCACAGTTGCTGATGTTTTTACTGCTGTGTATATGGTGCTACTTTTTGATACATACAGTAGAGCTGGGCTTTGCTTGAGAGATCCTTGCCTGACTGCCTTAAACTCCTATAGGCCTCCAGATTTAGCTCAGGACTCATGTATATTACAGTAATAACTGAGTCAGGGATCCCAAATACAATGCACTTCCATTTTGGAGCATGCAGGGTTTTAGCCTATGGCACATGAGTAAGGTCCTGTTTATGCTATACATTGGAACTGTTTTGTAGCTACCGTCTCTGACCCAGTTGCAACTGCTGTACAGCTGGGCTCTCTAAGGGTAAAGCTTTCTACTAGGTTTGGTGTGAGGTTAAAGGATATCTCTCCTTTCACAGCAAAACACAAAAGGGAAACAGTTATTTAGGAAGCCCTGCACTGAGTTTGAGTCATCAACCACTTGCAGGAGGAGGTGTAGATAAGGGGGAAAAGACTAATGAAGCAACTTCCTGAAGGAGGAAGCATGGTCCTTGAGCTGCTTCGAACTCCTGGGGCTCTGAACAGCCATGCCCATGAACAGCAAGCACCTCGACACTGCACCCCAGACAGCATAGCTGAGTTAGGAGTTGCGCTACTAGTGACTGCCTCACTGAGCGGGTAGCAGGCCCACCGCAGGCGTTAATATTGTCTGTTATCTCTGCAGGAAATGCTAGGGGGTTGGTCAGGCACAGTGCCACGACTATGCCTGGCCAAATCTGAGGCATGCTAACCACCCGCTGAGGGCAGCAGGGCCCAGCTGTTAACTTGGGGAAAGGGGGAGGTTGGCTGCAGCTCTGCTTCCTCCCCTCCCAGACTTTGTTTGACATATGCACACAGTTCCCTCTCTTTTATCCAAAAGGGGAGCCCTTAATTCACACTGATTTAGTAAGCATTAATAATCTAACCTTTTATCTGATGTTTATATTTCATGGACTGTAGCCATTGTAAAAATACTGTGTGACATACCCAGGATACAAGCTGGAGAAAAACCAAGGAGTGCTCCGCACCCATGGGGCTGGACACCAATCTGCTGTTCAGTGGCTGGCCCCCAGCAGCTGTGCCACCGAGCAGCTGTTGGGCAGGGCTGCCCTGCCATGCTCTGCCCCACAGTGCCCTTAAGGGGGGGGGGTGCAGAGTGGGACCTCACAGGAGGGGGAGCAGAGTCCGTGTAGGGGCACCCACGGGCTAACGCAAAAGTCATTGCCTGTGGGTACCACCACGTCTCACAGCAGCCATTCACCTTAGCTGCTCTGTTTAGTTGTTTTAGGAATGCTTAATGGTCCTGCTGTAGCCTTTTAAACAACACGTTTGAAGTGAATATTATAGGAGTGGAGCAGGGCAGATTTGAGCGGCAGGAAGGGGTAAAAGGTCAGTTACAGTTCAGGTTGCTGGTGACTGTTCTTTAAAAGGAAATGCAATCATTTTGTACAAGCGTAACCACTTGTGTAGATGGGGTAGTGGAGGCCACCTTCCAAGAGTGCCCCTGTTAGCAAGCATAGAAACAGTGCTGCTTGAGACTCCTTGCCATTGGGAAGAAGGAATGGAAATAGCCCTCTTTAGACACATAATCAGCATATGGCTAAAGGGACAGAGAAGTTAAAGTCAGTCCTGTTTTGTATTTGTTTTTGGGCCACTGCTTACCAGCTAATAGGTAAAATGGTGAAGCAGGTGTAATGCACTTATATCCCACACAGGAATGGGATTACTGCATTTTATTTAAGTCTCAGCAGTAGCTTCACTCCAATTTTTGGTACATCATTTAAACATATACTGAGGCTTACCAACCTGTGAGGTGGGACTCCTATAGTGTAATTAAATGTATAATCAAATGTTTGTAGATTGTTTTAGAACCTTGGGTGAGATTTCAGGGTAGCAGCCGTGTTAGTCTGTATCCTCACAAAGAACAGGAGTACTTGTGGCACCTTAGAGACTAACAAATTTATTAGAGCATAAGCTTTCGTGGGCTACAACCCACTTCTTCGGATGCATATA